ATTCCGGGCTTACGCAATAACAACGCAGTACTGTTTACATAAGTCTTACCTCGATTCATCTCTTTGTATTTCAGAAGCTGACGATCTAGATTGCTGCTTCTCGTTTTAAACAGTTCAAGAACCCCTCTCTTGCGCGAAGAGAACCCGTTCGCTGGCCCGACCGCTATGAAGTACCGCCATTTTGGGTCAGAAAAACACAAACTGCGGGAAATTAGTCGTGTAGGCCCCATTCAAGTATATAATACTATGGGTACCCGCCAAAATATTGGAAGTGAAGTGCTGCCACATTTGTAATTTCATAATCATCGTTTGGTTTTATAATAAGACAATGTCATGCAAGATCCTTTCGTGCAATTGCGTCTCAAATAACCTTATAATAGCAAAGCTCCAAGCCAGACACATTTGTTACAATGTAACAGCCAGAAGCATACGCTTCGTCTGTGTGGCTTTCAAATATTTTAATTTTCGAGGCAATTCAAGTATATGTAAACCAATTGTGAACACAATGCAACATGTCCAAATATTTAATTTGTCTATGTGATTCAATTAAACCAATGCAACGTGCTCGCGTTAAAGCGTAGAAAAAAAGGAGCACGAGACTCGGATGGCTCACAAGGTCAGTTCATATGTTCGCTAGAAACAAGGCGGCTTGGTAGTAAAAACAATGTCACGCAAGATCCTTTCGTGTAAGATCGTGTGCAACAGCGTCTCAAAACAGCCGAAATCGGCCACAATCCAAGCATCAGAGCAAAACAGCGTCTCCTCGAGCGCGCAAAAGAAATCCCGTAAAACAACAATCGTCACTTCTCGGCGTGCAAATTTGAGCGTGGCAATGGTCGTCACCAATCAGACATTTCACGCGGAGGGGACTGGGTACTTCTAACGAAACATCCGAAATATTTCCGGCAGACGGAAATACATGAAATCGAGTACTCAGGACAGAATTAGGATGTTGCCCTGTGCCGGGCAGCAATTAGCTCAATTTTGCGGTGGACTGGGTAACCTCTGTTGTCACGCTTTCTACAAAATCTTGTAGCGATCGGAACATGTAACACAACTTTTTGGAGAAATGATTTAATTAAGTACGTAGATATAAACTGAAATGAACTACTAATTCAATTACCACGCTGGATTGCTAATTCATTCCTGTTTGTCCCTCCCTTTGTATATTAATAGGTTTCAGATCTTCAAAAATACATAGTTCCAAAGATTCTCGTCTTCAAAAAATGAAAACTAAACTGTTGACGCAAGTTCGGGTATTGAACGCACGAAACAATAATATAATTTCACGTTAGGCATGTCATTTTAACCACATTAAAAGATCAGTTTTTGGACGTTTGAAAGAATGCTTACTTTCCATTATTTTCAAATAACTTATTACCATTTCCAGGAGCCAGAGATTAAACAATTACTATATTATTTTTAAATCCTGGAACGATTCAATATAGGCCAATGGTGCACGATCGAGAGAGAGAGGAGAAATGGCGGTAAGGTCACACCCCACATTTTGCTAACAAAATAGTTTTTCTTACAAGGAAATGACGTCGATCAAATAGTTTCCGGGGGGATCATATTCTGTTTTACTGAGAGAAAGAATATAATAGTGTTTATGTGGGCCGTGGGTATTTCCACATGCCCATATTTTGGACACAAGCCGCAAACAAACTTTTTTTCTATATCATTAAGATATTAACATGATTCCGGCAATATATTTGATTAGTAGCTTTTCTTCATTTTAGGCCCCTACAACGAAAGCACCAGCACAAGGCAGCTTTGGATTTCCAGACTCTTGCACGTCAAGTGAAACTGCGATTTCTTTGTGACATACCAATTGCAAGCTACAGATGATCAGAAGGTGGAGTTTGAGATAGTGGCAAAGCGGGCTGGGCCGGCGTGGATTTAGTGATGACATAAAATGGTAAGTAATAAATGGGTACGAAAGAAGTTCTGAAGATTTTTAAGGCAAGTGTATTTTAAAGCATCGTGAGTGGACATTAATTTCACGAACACGTTTTATGTGATTTTTTTGTATATGTTTATATATAATATATTCAACATAATCATGGTGGTCGTGCGTTTGAGCAAATTTGTTTGGCTATATTCAGAAGTCCTCGAGTGATCTTCGCAATGTTTGAAGTATTTGGGGTCATCAGTTGGCATCTTCGCAAGTCTTCGATTAATCATCGGTGACCCTTGGTAGACAATAACTATTCGGATGGTCTCTTTTAATCTTCGACCGCTTCACCGTTTCTACAGCTTATGGTAACCGTCGCATTGTTCCTGTACTACACTTTTGCACACTTTGCACTGCTTCTGTTCATTGTATTACAAAAAAGATACTAGGTACAATTAGTTTTGGGAGCAACAATATTGGCCAAAGTTGTTGACATGTGGCGGATGGGTTGAATAGGGAAAAAAACATTGTTTGGGGGGAATGTGGTGGGGGGGGGGGGGGGGGGGAGGTGAAGACAAAGATCATTTGACGGCAAATATGTGAAGTGTCCCAAAGCTTTTGACCTGATTGAAAGTGTATACCTATTAAATCGCCTGTTTCACAAAAATGTTTCCTCTGAGCAATTGAGAAAAAACAAACAAACTAGGAGCTTTATTTTACCAACTCTTTTGTCTATTTGCAGCCCGATACGGACATGCTCATTTGTACCAGTGATCAATCGAAGAGTGGTCATTATTATGCAACAGGAAGAAGTCTTCCAACTATGACCACCCCAGTAAGTAATACTTTTTTTTTCTTTTTCATGGCTATTGCTTGGTAGAAATATGTGAAGATGTTTAGTCTGTCAGTGACACAAGCCACTCGGAAAACAATTTCCGAGTTCTCCCAGCAGAATTAGAACCTATGACCTTCCGCACACCGGTCGGACGCTCTACCACTGAGCTATACAGGAGACTCGTGAGAGCTTAGGCCATACAACTAGGTTCAAATGTGACAAACTTCACGCACAGGTCATAGGTTTGACTCCTGTTGGGAGAACTCGGAAATTTTTTTCTGAGTAGCTTGCCTCGCTGACTGATAAACATCTTTCTCAAAATAAAAGATATATTTAAGTGCCATATTGACACCGGTAGTCATTTTGAAAACGAAGCTAATCAACATGTAAATGTTACAGCAAAATTCTTACTCGGTTTTGCAGACGAAAACATCGTCCGTCTGATGCGCATTCTGAACTCAAATTCAGAAAATAATGTGAATTACTGCCATAGCGTCCTTTTGGTGACAATTTTCTGATGTTTTGAGGTTATCATGCGCCTGGCATCGGCGTTTGATTAATGCTAATCGACGATGTTTCAAACATCATTTTCAAATTAAGTGTCGTTGAGTTTTAAAAATGAAAATTATAATATTATTATTGCTTTTTTCAGACTCCATCAGGCGGTGACAATTGTTGAGCATTTCAAATGATGGTGGAGTGGTAAAGTGCAGGTGCATGCTTCTTTGTTATTACATTTACCTAGTGAAATAACTTCAACACAGCCCTTAACCGATCTCATTTAACGTAAGGTGTGCTATATGTGACAACCGTCTTGAATCAATGATTGAGTTGCTCTGACAGAACGCTAATTCCAACCACCCAAAATTCACCAAAGCTAAGAGTGTATCAAAAACATCTTAGCATGTATTTGTATTTTTTCTAATTATTGCTGGAATGTTTAGAATTTCAAGGGAAATCAATCCAGGAATAGACAATTTTAGGGACTTGAGTCAATCATGGTTTCTTTTGGGAGCGATTGGAAGCTTTCAAGGTAAGTTTATGTTTATTCTAATGTATTTTGTAATTATCGTTTCTCGGCTTTAATGTATTTTTGGGAAGTGGCTTGTATACATATCAATTATGTACACTACACCAATATCGTATTTACGGCAGTTACATGTACATGTATTGCAATTGTAAAAATAGCAATGATCATAACAAGCAAGAACATGTTACTTTATTTAGAGATCACTGCGAAGAAAAACGCTGCGAATCTGTGAAGCAGGGTTTTGACGCATGACAAAATAAAACAATAATTAACAATTGGTTCATGCTTTAGCGTGCATTATCGAGTTATGATGCACGCGGGAAGTTTGGAGAGCACGATAGAAGCGTAAGAGTTGCACGAGGCGATAGCCGAGTGCAACTCTAGCTTCTTGAGTGCTCTCCAAACTTCCCGCGTGCATCATAACTCGATAATGCCACAGCTAAAAGCATGAGCCAATTGTTTTATAACATTTTATTGCGATTCAAACATTTTTTTGGACAAATTTAAAGGAAAATTGAGATCATACGCGAGTGTTGTACACCGAACATTGAACGCGAAATAATTTTTGGTTTCGAAGGAAGTCAGCCTTTTTTTTCGATTTCGCCGGTCAATTGCTTATAAAAAGAAAAGCAATCCACAATTATGTCTCAATGAAGTTTTTCTAAAGTACTAAACAGCAAAAAAATGGGGAAATAACCCAATTTTGAAGCGAAATTTAAGCTGCTTATTCAAAAACATCTACGTGATTTTACAACTTCAGAAAACGGTAAACAAAACACTTAACGACAAAAAAATGATTTTAATGTACTCACCTTACGCAAACTTTTACATAGAGCAAGTTGTATCGGCGAATAAAACATTCCATTACAGCCATTAATTGAGCAAACGACAAGAGATGAAAGATTTCCGACGATTCATCCAAGAAAACTTTTGAATTTCGAAGCGTACGTGAGGAACCCAACTCAGTGCCAAGTCTTCAGAACCAATCACCGGCGGCGCGATACTCTGTCGAAGTGACAGGTCAAGTTTGCTCGCGCCACCAGCGTGCATCATTGGATTATGATGCACGCGCGCTACTGAATTTTACTATGTGGATTTGCTAGCTATGTTATAATAACAAATAAATAAATAAATAGAAATAGAAAAATGTTTTGTCGCAGATCGATGATTTCCCATTCGGTAACTAGCGCTCTCAGTCTTCCAGCGGTAATAATTTGCAAGATATATTGTACATTTTCCATACGTCTTTTTTATCTGTTCTCTCCTCTTCGAAGGTAATTCAATTCAACAACATAGTGGCAGTGCCCGACAGGCTACAAGCTCCAGAATAATTGTCACAGAAGCGTCTGGATCTGCAGCTGGAAATGGCAAGATAGATTTAAGAATTGTCCACGGTAATACACACAAATGTCCACTGATAATCAAAGAACACGTGTAATATTGAGTAATGGCGTTCTGTTTTATCATCCCCATCCCCATAACCCTTACCAACAGCAACACCAACACCAACACCATCATCATCATCATCATCATCATCATCATCATCAACAACAACAACACCATCACCATAAACATTAACATCAACATTACCATCACAAACACCAACACCATGACGAAACCATCACCAACAACATCACCAACAGCATCATCAACAGCATCACCAACAGCATCACCAACAACATCACCATCACCATCAACATCATTATCACCAGTACCAACACCATTAACATCAAACATCACCATTATGACACCATCACCAATACAATTATCATCGCCATCGCCAACACAATCATCACCATCACCAACATCAACACCATCACTATCACCAAAACCATCACTGCACCATCACCATCATCACCACCATCATAGCCATAACTATCAAAAATTACCACCACCATGCACCAACCACCACCGCTAATGTAGCACCGTACGTGCCACCGTTTCATAAAATTCAGGCAATTTCCTTTATTTGAGCTTATTAAAAATGCGCAGTTATGACTGACTACGTACCATTTTTCTCGTTTATTTTGCTATGTAAAACACCCCGCTATGTTTATCTATTTGCCTTTAATCACAATTAGCAGCATAGGACTGAAAAGGCGCCAAATGTAGAACCTAAAGGCCACCTTAAAGGAGAAGGTCACTCCAGAAAGCGCATTTTTTTATCACTACCATTAAAAAGTATATATGAAGATGAATAACTGACCGTAGTTTGAAGTTCCAAAAACCTTCGTAACCTCGCGAATATTGCCTTCAAGTGTGTCGAAAAAATTCGAATTGACCGCCGCCATTTTGAAGACTACTCAGGCAACCTGGCCGCATAATCGTGATGTCAAATAGTCCTAACCTGAATTGGCGGGAAACGCTGTGTGATTTAAACATAGTTGCTGTTTGGTGTGCCTTCGTTCGATGTTTCGAGTCCACAAATGCGGCCTTTTTGCAGTTCCAAAACTGTTGTAACAGATCGCAAAAGGATAGAAGAGGAATTATATTTCATCGTTTGCCGTTAATTGAAAAGATCTTGCCAAGAAATTCCGTGGCTAGTTAAACTCGGCCGCGATAAGAGATTCTTGCCAAAACCCGAATACATTTATGTTTCTTCCGACCACTTTACGGATGACTGCTTTGAGATTGATTTTAAGTCAGATCAAACTTCTTACTGGTAACACTATAAAAGAAATCAGAAACCTGATGCTGTTTCGACAATTTTTAAACACGAAAAGAGCTAAAGAAGCAAAGGCATGAAAGAACGACAAGAGGTTAGTTTGTCAGTATTCCGAAATGATTCAATTTAATTAGGGCGCTGTGACACTAAAAATGTTTCGTGCAATTTGTCTCGCAAATTTTGTTAAGCCGCCGCGAGACAAATTGAAAGAAACGTTTGCTTTATAGTGTAAAACACCGAAATGCTGCGTTGGGCGCGATCGCTTCGAAAATTAGAACTTGATTCTGTTTCGTCGAACGGGACAATTAATTTTAGGAGGGCGTGCAACGGCAAAACGATGAAATATAATTCCTCTTCTGTCCTTTTGCGACCTGTTACAACAGTTTGGAGCTGCACAAGAGGCCGCATTGTGGATCGAAACATCGAACGAAGGCACACCAAAAATCACACAGCGCTTCCCGCCAATTCAGGTTGGACTATTTGACATCACGATTATGCGGCCAGGTTGCTGAGTAGTCTCCAAAATGGCGGCGGCCAAGTCGAATTTTTCGACACACTTGAAGGCAAATTTCGCGAGGTTATGAGGGTCTTTGGAACTTCAAACTACGGTCAATAATTCATCTTCATATATACTTTTTAATGGTAGTGATAAAAATATGCGCTTTCTGGAGTGACCTTCTCCTTTAAAAGTGTCTTAGACTTGTTTTTTGCAGCAACGCTTAAGCAGTGGTTTTTGTCTAATGGCGGTACTCAATTCAATGTTAATGAAATATATAGATGTTATTGAACTAGCGTGAGGTCCGTATTGGGAAAATATTGGTCTCGTTCTTTTTTTGCAAGTTTATGGACCGAGCCGAAGGCGAGGTCCATAAACTTGCAAAAAAAGAACGAGACCAATATTTCCTAATACGGACCGAACAAGCTAGTTCAATAAAGTTTTTATTATAATGGCTTTTTTAAAAACTTGCTGATAAATTAATGCAACCATTCTCGGCTAACGCGCGCGCGCCAAAGCTAAGCATAGTCTTGCATTTTTCAGGCCACTTTGCGAAAAGTTTAACCGAAATTGTCCGCCAGACACGAGGAAACATGTTTCTACTTAATAGAAAACAATTTTGCAAAATACGGTCCGTATGACCAAAATATCGGTCCGTATTGCAAAATACGGACCGCTCAGGGAACCAATCAGAATGTTCCTTTTCGTCGTGGACCAGTTTGCCATATAATAAAGAATTATATTTTCCTCAACACAGGCAGTCTGATGACAATTGCGTGGGTTTTGTTTGCATTTGTGGGTTTGTTCACGGCACGGTACATGCGCCAAGTCTGGGAACCAACAGAATTATTCGGAGTCAAAGCTTGGTTTGCGGTTGGTATTACTTCCACGAAAATTTAACAAAATAAAACAACAATGAAACTAATAAAGTGTTAATATCGACTAAGAATTTTTTTTTTTTAATTTAGTCAGGGGCAGTGAACTTATA